AATTGGAGATTGATGACAGCGTTAAGCCTAAATTTTATAAACCACGACCTGTACCTCTTGCACTCAAAGAATTGGTCGAAGCTGAACTTGATAGACAAGTTGAAATCGGTGTTTTTGAAGCCATTGTAAAACATCCGATTGGGCTGCACCTATGGTTACCGTATTAAAAGCTGATCAGAAGTCAGTTCGGCTCTGTGGAAGTTATGACTTGACTGTAAATAAAGCAAGTCGTCTTGAGCAGTATCCATTGCCAAAGGTGGATGAATTATTGACTAAATTTGCTGGTGGGGAAAAATTCTCTGTTATTGATCTGAAAGAGGCATATCTGCAGATACCATTGGCAGAAGAGAGTCAAAAGTACACAGTAGTTAATACACATAAGGGATTATTCACGACAAATCGTCTTGTTTATGGAATATCAAGTCCTCCAGCTATATTCCAGAGATATCTTGAAACACTGCTGGATGACATAGCAGGTGTAGGTGTTTTCCAAGACGATATTGGAGTAACCGGTTCTTCTGATAAAGAACACATAGCCAGATTGGAAGAAGTTTTTCAAGCGTCTTACAATGAAGGTCTAAAAATTAATCCAAACAAATGTAAATGGATGGTTTCAGAAATTACTTATCTTGGATATCGTATAAATAAACTTGGAGTTCAACCAACTGAAGATAATCTGAGAGCTGTTCTGGATGCCCCAGAACCACAAAATATACATCAGTTGCGCTCATATCTGGGGATGCTTAATTATTATGGTAAATTCATTAAAAATTTATCAACTGTTGCTGCTCCTTTGTATGACTTCTTCGTTCGAATGTTCGATGGGCACTGGAATAAAAGGCAAGTGGAAGCTTTTAAGAAAACGAAATCGCTATTGTGTAATGCTCCATGCCTTGCTCATTTTGACGGAAATGCTGCCGTCATTGTTTCTGCAGATGCCAGTCCTAATGGAATCGGAGCAGTTTTATCTGTAATAACGCAGGAAGGAGAACGTCCTGTGGCTTTTGCATCCAGATCTTTGTCAAAACCAGAGCGTAATTATAGCCAATTGGATAGAGAGGGATTAGCTCTAGTATTCGCTGTTACAAAGTTCAATTCATTTTTATATGGAAGACCGTTTGTTTTGGAAACTGATCACAAGCCACTTCTCGGTTTACTTGGGAAGAATAAGCCACTTCCTGATGCAGCTCCACCGAGAATGATCCGTTGGAAAGTATTACTTGATGGATATCAATACGAATTAGTGTATGTTCCAGGTAAAAACCAAGCCAATAGCGATGCACTAAGTCGTTTGCCTTTGCCTGTTAAACCGGATTATATACCGCCTTGTGGGGATGTAGTGAATCTTCTTGAAGCAGTCGATTCTACCCTTGTTAAAGTTGATGCAATTCAGTCTTGGACGAGAAGAGATCCTGTACTGTCCGCAGTTATGCATCATACTCAAATGGGCTGGCCAAAATCTTCTGACATAGACCCAGAATTACAAATTTATAGAAGCAAAGAGACGGAACTAAGTGTCCATGAAAATTGTTTATTTTGGGGTTGTCGAGTAATTATTCCGCCACAAGGAAGACAGAAGTGTTGCAATTACTTCACGATGGTCATCCTGGTATTTGTTCTATGAAAAGAATTGCTCGTAATCATGTATGGTGGCCTGGGGTTGATGCTGATATTGAAGAGTTGGTGAAATCTTGCAGTTTGTGTCAACAGTTACGTCCCAGTGCACCTCAAGTTCCTGCTAGCCCATGGTCTTATCCTAATGGTCCATGGAAAAGAATACATATGGACTATGCCGGTCCAGTTGATGGGAAAATGCTTCTTGTTATTGTTGATGCGTTTAGCAAATGGCCAGATGTGTGGATTACATCGTCAGTTTCTGCTCATGAAACTATTGAAAAAGTCAGACTTTCATTTGCTACACATGGATTACCACTAGTTGTAGTCACTGACAACGCTGGTTGTTTTGCAGGAGACGAATTTGCAACATTTCTAAAGGCAAATGGAGTGAACCACTTGTTTTCATCACCGAGACATCCGGCTTCTAATGGCCAAGCTGAATCAATGGTAAAACAAGTTAAACTTGGATTGAAGAAACAAGCACCAGCATCTTTGTCAGTCAGACTTGTTCGGTGGTTATTTAAATACCGAACTACACCACATACAACGACTGGTCAGACTCCGTCGGAATTACTTTTTCGTCGTAAGATTAGAACGCATCTTGATCTAATCGCACCTTCATCACGTTTGAAGAAGTCAGCAGAGAATGTTCCAAGTGGAATAATAAGAACTTTTCACATTGATGACCCAGTTTTTATTACAGAAGTCGTTGGATCTCGTTTCAAATGGTTACCTGCCACAGTAACTGAAGTTATGGGTCAAATGTGTCGTGTTCGTTTGAACGATGGAAGAATTTTTAGACGTCATCTTGATCATTTTCGACATCGATTTTCTGCTGATGATGTAATGGTACGTGAAGGGAATCAAGATTTTAGAATGAGTGAGAGAATACCAGCTGCAATTCCAACAGGAATACCTGATGTTGATGTGGGAGATAGAAATTCAACTCCTACCTCTACTGCTATTGAAGAGACTGATGAATCTCAAAATGACAGAGACAATGTAGACCCAGTTCCTAATTTTCCAGAATCGTCCAGTAATTCAAACATACCTTATAAAACAAGATCTGGCAGAATATCAAAACCGCCAGAAAAACTATCTCTATAAGAAGTTTTATAATTTTGTACTGGACAGAATTATAGTTGTAAAAGTTTCTTTGAATTTCTTAGTTTCTTTGTGAAATTCTGTACGTTGCTTGTATATTTGTTTTTGCAATATTTTATACCATTTGATTGGGAATGTTGGAATTCGGGTAATCGTGTTGTACATTTATTTTTAATATTTGGTTCTTGAATTTGTACAATATTTCCAAAAAGGGGGGAAGGAGTGTTATATATTATGTTGAGCTTACTATCATAGCTTGTTTACTACTCTATCTGCTTGTGTGCTATATTGTTACGTCACAATGCTGTCTAGTGCCGTAAGTTGTTTTTCCTCTGTTTAGAGGTCTTTTGTTCTGAACTAAGTTGACGGACGGATGTCCAAATAAATCGCGTGCAGTTTTGTAATGAGTCTGTATTCATTACTTGTTATAAAGATATAACAGAGATTTCTGTAAGTTAAGAATATTTGATTAAACAAATACTGTGAAATATATCACGAATCGTCGACGTCATCAGAAATGAGCAATATGGGAGTAGATATAACTTATCAAGAAAAAATATGAGAAATTCAGCCACCATTGTCCCAACAAGTGAAAATGTATGAAAAAATTAAACGTTTTTTAAAGCCGATCTGTAATCCTTGGAGTTGTACTTGGAATTACACAGCTCGCAAAAATGTATAATAGGATGAAGTTGTTTAATGAATTGACCGTGGTTAACGATTTAGATTGGAACTAGCACTGTCACCCCAAACTGATGTCAGATAGATATCAGCGACGTATAGTCATATATATAAGGCCGGGCCATAATATACCAGTGTCAAGCGAATAAAACAAATGTACATTTAATACTATCCTTCCATACTCAAGGTAGGCTATAACATAGAATAGATAATGGGTTAGGTTAAATTCTTTTGATACTGACAGTCAGAGATAGTTCCACTCTATCCCACAAAGGTAAGTGATATAATAATAAATGAATTGGTTATAAGTTAGCTCCGTCTCACAACCCACCTTGTATACAATCATTTGTTTTGACTTTTGAGGAGTGTTTATGTCGATATAGAAGAGGCAGTCAGCTACTTTCCTTTCTAAAACGGGCAGCAGAAATATTTAAACTTGTTAAAAACTCGAATGAGCAAACAGCGTATGGTGCAATTTCAGTACTTTAAATTAAGCGAAATTTTCAGCGGAAATTTGTCGGCATTCTAAAATGATAGTAAGTTCTTTATGGATACATTAGAAACCTTAAGTGTTCAAGACTTATGAGACAATTAGACAGTTACGCATGGATAAACATACATCTGCAATCAACTCCAAATAAAATTCAATGAGAAAATAATATTTAGTGATCCCATATTTTTGCCACACGTTTTTGTTGAGTGATATGACACGAATAAAGGCACAGCAACTCGAAAACAAAATCGAAATTTTTTTGGTTAATTATGTTTCTGGAATTCTTAACTCTAATAATTTCAGCAAAAATCGAATTCTTTTTCGAAAATACTTCAGCTGACAAACTTGTTTCAATCATATTTATTAGCGTTGTATTGATTTCATGTCGCCTGAATTAAAAAGGAATTCAAAACATTATTAAGAAGATATCTTTTGTTGGTGCTTATGTCTGTACGTGGAAATTGGATTAAAGCGGCAAGTGATATAAGCATAAGTGATATATTTCGCAATCGGAAGAGGTGATATTGATATTCTACAAACTAATGAGTCAATAATGGCTCATGGCTGTGAGGTTTTTTTTTTTTTTTTTTTTTTGGAATGTTCAAATTTTCAATAATACCCCGACGATTTGAATGTACAGAACATCTGTCCCTAACCCTAAGTTAGTAATAATTTTGACTCCGACAAAATCTCGACTTGAATTCATTTGAGCGTGATTCTTTATCAGTCAAAAAGTTTGGCTGCATCTTCGACAACAAAGTTCGACGACATAAATGTTTTTTTTTTTTCGGAATGTTCAATAGTGCAATAAAATTAAACTACCGATAAGAAACTTGGTTTGAACAAAACCTTTTCCATTTAAAATTCATGTTTTGTAGAATTTAGATGAAGTCATGTTACATGTAAAATTTGTCGTTGGTTTTTATATCATGATTTATAACATTTTGGAGAAAAATTAAACATGGTTATATTTTTATGCCAGATGAACAGTTTATTCGGATTTAAATTGCTATCGAACAGAATATTATAAGATCGTACTAATCACATTCTAGTGTAAACTATTTATAATATAAATTTCAAATATATACTGTTTAAAATATAAAAGCAGAAAAACAAAAGATCTTCAAGTATATTTGTCCGGCCCGTAATCAGAAAGGAATCGACACGATATTTATTGGATTCTGCGTGATGGGACAGTTTCCGGATAAATATAATCTGGATCAGTAAAATCACCATCGACATATGTAACTTCGTATACAACCTCATGGCGAGAAAGGCTCGTGTGCGTCATTGGTTCCAGATATCCATTAGGTGGAGTGTCAACTGGAGCAGTAAATTCTGGTTCTGTAATATAACCAGTATTTTCATATCCATCGTTGACATTGCCTTCTTGACGATTTTCTCTTGAGTACATCGCTGTAAGATATTTATTGATTTGTGACCCCATTTTAGCTTCAGAAGATGGTCTGCGATAATCATCCTTATGATCGCCAGATGGTTCGGTTTGTTGTATTATTCCCCGGGAAATGCCTATCTCTTCGTACACCGGGGGAGGTGTGGGTAACGGACGTTTCCGATAATGCACTGGAATGCTTTCTTCTCGATGTTGAAGTCTAGAAACGAATATAATCTTACATTTATTATTATTAATTTATTCGCTCCCGACAAAGCTATGAAAAGCATACTATTCAAGCAAGACGTTTTACTGTGTTAGTTGCTGTGTTAGTTGTCACTATGACGCCATATATATTATTTGTTCATGTTTGATTAATTAATATTTGACATCGAGACCTACGTTACTGATAGCAACTGCTAGTAAGTATAGAGTTAATAAGTTTGGAATGACCGGAATGTTTTTTACAGAATAAGCTACTCATTCTTTTAATTGGTTGGTATTTACCTATACTGCAGGGCTGTGGATTCGAATTCAATCCGAACGAAAATCTATTACCTGCTAATATAGCAAGACATTATACGTGTTTAGTTTTTGTTAACGTCGTTATATTATATAACATAATATGTGGTTGCTCGTTTTTTTACTCATTAGTGACTTATTTTATTATGTAGTCGTTGTTTTGATCAAATATTTAAAAATACATTAAAAACCATCGTCTTTTGGTGACTGCACAACCTGATGGAGAACGCAAAAAGTGAATTCACCTTCTTTTCCTATAGATCCAGACTCCAATTACTCCTGCTATCACTATAACTGCTACTATGCTTCCAGAGACTATTGCAATTGTCATAAGAGAGATAGAAACAAGTTTGGCTTTCAATTCAGTAGACTCAGCATTCTGCTGTTGAGTTGACGCAGAAATCGTAGACACTTGAATACTTGATGATATATACGTGATATACGTATGATATATACGCACGTGATCATATATACTTATGGGACTTATACCTGTGAATGATCACTGAGTGTGTTATAAATTCGCATTGAGCGTGTTATTATTTAGCTAAATTGGAAAGTAGTTTTACCTGTTTTACAGTCAATGTATTCATAGGACAGTTTGAATTGTAATTTGGAAGGTTGGCATTCAAATATGACCATTGAACCATTTACATTGGACAACCAGTTTCTAGTTTCGCATTTAAGCTTCTTTGTTTCGTTCAAGCAGATATCGGAGGTATAACCGATCCAACATGTTTGATCAGAGTCTGGGTTGAAGCCATACCAGGAAAAACCAGGTACTGTATAATATAGAAAAAGGATTTATTTTCTCTCTTCAATGAATGTTATACGCTTAAATTAAAAAGGGGGTTTTTATGTGTGATTTCCATACTGGTCGTTGATTACAATTATACATACGAAGTTTGTTTATGGTTTTATGTTGTTAGATACATCTGCTTGTTGTCTAGTACAGCCTTGTCCAACTCAAATGCTTTCTGAGGCCGCAAATCATATTTTATTTTTGTCGCGAACCTCACATTAAATAACTTGTCATAAATTGAAGTTTAATTTGACGAATTTGTACGGCGTTTTTTTCCGTATTTTCATTGTGCGCGAACTCGGAATGTATTTTCAAATTATAAGACTTAAAAACTGCCGTCCTCTCTTGTCGTCGCTTATTCATAATATGCTTTGGTTGCGTGCTTTGATATAATATACCATCACGATAGTACCATACACAAGAATAGTGCTTATCTGGGCTACACTTAGGTTTGCTCTAGAAAATTTTATTGGAAACGGCTGGTTGAGGATCGTCTGTAAATCTTCCAGCGGACCGCACGAATTCGTCCGACGGGCCGCAGTTTGGACACCGCTGGTCTATTGGCCTCTATCGAGATCAGTCGTCAGAGTCAGGTCTCATTTGAATCTTCAAAATTCGGACTTGAGTTTTACTATGACTCAACTTTGGGCCCGAGATAAAAGATTGTCGGCCGTGACAAAAGGCCGCAAAATTTACCTTTGACTCCCAAAGTATAATTTCCAATCAAAAAAGTGAAAAATATAGATAACGAAACGATTTCTTAAAAATCAAACAGAAAAATTTAGTGGCTTCAAAAAAGTTTCTAAATACAACATGTAAGCCATAAATAAATACACTTACATATTCCAGTTCCGGGGAGCAAACTATAAACCCTTAGCAGGCCTCTTTCTTTTGGGGTTTGGTTTGACGTAAAAGTCATTTTGAATATAGTCTGCTCGTGAAGGGGAAAATGAAATAGCCAACGACAATAATTCCACCCTCCACATTCACTATCATTCCTCGGTGATTCTATTTCCCCATTGCGATCATAAATGTAATCGGGTGGGTATCTTTCACACGGTTCGGCGTCCAAATACGATATTCCTACAAGTAAGCATACATTGCATTGAATTACTGAGACTATTTTTATGAATTTTGCCCAAAACAAAGTAGTAGTATCCCCGCAATGAAAAGCCTGCCGGGTCTGGCAGTTACCAGATAACGACTAAATTAACCAGAATTATTGAATTAAACAAATTATGAAAATAAATAATGAAACATTACACAGTTATCCTACCTTTCGTAAGAAGTAAAGCTCCTGCCAGGCCAATAATCTTAATTGAATATTGCATGTTTTCCGACACAATTTGTTTATTTTCAAAAACTGTTCATTTAAAAAAAACTGACCCTCCTCGTCGTGTAAATTATTTATTGAATATGACAGACAATGAGATTTCATATTGGACATCATTGTGTGATATAGAAAATATGTAATTAGTTGCATTTTGGTCCCCTATTATTGGTTTTGATTCATATCACATGGTCCAATATATATATATATATATATATATAAGTTTAGCCCAACTAAAATGTATAATTTAATTGTTTGACAGTGCAATCAGTGAAAGTTAAACAAATTAATGTAGTGGCGTCAGTTTCTATGAATCATAATCTATTAAATATTTTAAAATATATTAAAATCTAATTTCCTGGTTTTTCAAATTGATTAATTTTTCTCGGGTCAAATTGCTTTTCGCAAACAGTAGATTCTGTATTGCTTTGCCGAAAATAAGTGAATAATAATCTTTACCATATCATTATAATATATATCATGAATTATGTATATATATTTGAGGTAATTATCTATCATTGACCAGGCCTTCGGGTGAAACCGATATTACTGTAAGTATAACTGCGGTACAGCAATGGGCTCTCATTAACATAGGGTCGTATCTCGCTCGTATTTTCTTGCCGAATGGTAGGTAGCTGTTAAACCTTTTTTTCGTTGTTTTTGGCCACAATACAAACGCGAATATAAGGAAATGTTTGTCCTGGTTGTAAATTGTCTTTTCCGCCACCGGCTACCATTAATTCTGTGCGACTATTAGGCACGTTGTCATTACGTGACCGACTGACGCCAATATACGGTACGTCGAATTTGAAACCCCAAGATGTCAATATGAAAAAACACAATTTTGACGACGCTGCGACCCCTTTCTTTCTTTTTAAGAAGAAGATTACACGTAGTAATAAGTTCGATTTCGAAAGGGTTATTAATAAAATGACCCCTTGGTTGATCCCTCGTATATATTCCGAATTATAATACCTCGACACGAAATCGTTTTTATCAGGCATGAGCGAATACTTACTCTTGGATGAGCATGTTTCATTTGTACGCGAACCGAAAATTTATATACATTGTCCTGAAGCCTAAAACATATTATCTTTTGTTCGTAGACTATGTTACCAAAAGGGATATATGCAGTGGCGGGATTCAGCCGGTTCGAACCGGTTCTATAAAACCGTCTCGCGGAGTTTTATGAGATCAGCGAACCGGTTAGCATTACTAAAAAAAACTTATAACAGAACCGGCCAAATAATATGCCTTCTGTGATGGAACCGGTTGACAAAAAATTTGAATCCCACCACTGGATATATGTCCTACACATGAATGATTTATTATCCAGGTGTTTAGTACAAGTAGGTATTCGAGTTTGTGCGACAGCAAGATCTTTATAGGTGATCAATAATTTTTAACTTGCGTTATTTGATCTGGATATCCGTCGTCGTATTCAAAAACGATTTTGTTACAAGTTACGGGTGATATTTCACCAATATATTATGCTTTTTAAATATATATATTAAATATAACCCAGGATTTTTAACTAGATACGATAGGAACTGAGTTTTATAGTTATATATTAGTAGCAGTAATATTCATTTCATCACCGTGCACGAAAACAAATATTCATTTACATAGGGAAGCAAAAAAAATCGTCAATCACAGGTGAAATGAGTCATAGAAAACTGCACAGGTTTTCGAACTGTCATACCCTGGGATGCATTGCTGTCATTGGCAAGCGGAAATTATTGGTAGGCTATTTGGAAATAATTGTTTTGAGCGATTTTATGTGATTGAAAATAAACACTTAGGCATGTAAGTCCTTTTTGTAATACTTCTTGTAACATGGCTATGGACATTGTCGTATAAAATGGCGCCCATGACAAAGTTTAAAAATGCGCCCCTTTGATCGTTGGTTGACAATTTATATTTAGCTTTTGTTGGTTTGAGATACGTCTACGTTATTATTTGAATAAAAATACAGGTTTCAGTTATTTATAATCAGAAATTATTTTATTAAATCGTTTTACAACTAAAACTTTTCATCGTTTTTGCACCCCTATCCAATCGGCGTCTATGGAGCCATGGTTGCCACACCCTAGATACGCCACTGGCTATGGATGGTTTAAATCAGTGTTTCCCAAACTTTTTTCTGTCAGCGCCCCCTTGGACGACTTTTAGCTGGCAAATGCCGCTCAGACAAAAAAAAGCAACGCAACTTTATTCTTCACCTATCATTAGCATAATGTGAAGGTTGAGCCTGGTGAAATACCACCAGTTTGATAATATCTGACTTCATTTCGGTCAAAAATAGTCTTGAGTCTCGTCTGACACTGTCGAGGGAATCTCTCTTGATATGTAAAAGTGCACTGCACTAAATACACGCTCTACCAGGAATGAGCTGGCAAAAGAAATAAAAAACTTTTAACCCGATCTCACACGTGAAGATATTTTAATTTGATTCTGTTGCCAAAAAGATAGAACACTAAAAGGTTGAACATGGGTTTGAAAGTATAAACCTAATGGTAGTGGTGCATTTTTGCTTTTGGAGATTCAGGTTATCTAGAAAACAGAAACCAAAAATTTCTTAAATATGTATCTCAAAAAATATCATTCAATTTTATTTGCGCTTGAACTTCTGTTTGCGTACGATTACAGTATACTCAGAAGTTTGGCAAAATTTTCAACCACTCATTTAGTTGTCTGCTGAAGCGGGCCGTCTGCTGTCAGGACATGGAAATGAAAGAGTTCAAACGGTGAATACAAAACATCACATGGTTGTGCCGAAAAAAATCTGGGCAGTGCAGTGGTTCCAGCATGACGAGGCGACCCCCCATACATCATTTCATTTCCTGAGAGAACAGTCAGCAATGACATCCTGTGGGAAATTTAATTATCGGACTAAAACCTCTCAGATTTTAGTATGTTGGGTGTTTGATAGACAATTCGTATCAGGACAATCCTCAAACGATTGGTGAACTCAGGGCTGCAATTGCAGAAATAAAATAAAGAAATACCTAAAGAAGAGTGATTGACAATGTTGCAAAAAGATTGCGATTCTTTCTTCAATATCGAGGAGAGCATTTGGAACATATTCTAGGAATGACATAATTTTTGTGCAAATTTTTGCGTAATTTTAATCCTCCCCGTGTAATTATCAGTTTACCGTAATTTGTGTTCAACTGATTTTTTTTACTGGTTGGATAAAAAAACTCGACTTGACTAACTCA